CGCCAGGAAGTAGTTAAAAAATAGATTACAAATTTTGTACTGGAATACGTGTATAAGTACTACATAAAAGCAAATTAAATAAAAGCTTGTAAAAAATTTTACAACCACTAATGTCAGTTAGGAGGTTTTGATAGTTAAAGATCGTTAGGATGCGTAAAAGCTTCAAGTTATCGTTATAATCTCTGTCAAAGCTCGCGCCCGCGGCTTGGTACTAACTAATCTAATGCGTTTGTTTGGTCTGCATTATCTGTGTGCACCGATTAGATAATGTAGAGATTCCTCCATCACTATGAATGGTGCCAGTGTAAGATGTTGCTGCATAATACTACAGGCTCCGGGTCTCTTTCCGTAAAAAGTAGATATCTACCGTCGTCCGTAACAAAAAGTTAAACGTGCGATGAACAGATGTTCAATACATGTTTAGTACAAAAGCGTATCTAACAACTGTTTATTTCTAAACAAAATAATGTCTGCCTTTAAAGTAAATTTTATTACAGTACTTCATAGATTTTGACCATAGATTATATAAATATAGCGTCGAGTCTCAAAAACGAGTCAACGTTTTGTCAGCTAATTGTCAAATTAGCTGACTCGTTTTTTTAATCAGTGTTCTATATACTTATGCACACAATATATTTTGACGTATTATTTAATAAATAAAATGAATATTTACGCATTAAAAAGATGCAGAAATTATAAAACAAAATAAATATAGAACTTGCAAAGAGTCACTCTTAACTTCTTATCACACGAATTTGTATGAAAAAGTTGATCCGCTTTTTTCGAAGCATTTGTATGGAGACACTCTATCTACGTATATAATCTAAGATTTTAACATAAAAAATTTGAAGCAAAAATTATTATATAGACTAAACAATATTTAATCATTTCAACTGAGATTTCCTAAATGCTGTGACATAACAGACAATGTTTCAAAGTATTTTTTGTTAAGTCGACCTCTATAGAATAATAATAAATTTATTATTATTTATTTTACATTTTATTGCGCAATTTATAAAAATTAAAAATACAGTATTTTTTTAATATGAAGTAATACAAAAAGCGGCTTTACCGCTAAACAATCTCTTCCAAACAATCTTTGTGTAAAGGACATAGAAAAAAAACACATATATATATAATTATTATTATTACGATGGCCAAGCAGGTAGTGATAGTTTTTTTTTTATAGTTGGCAAATTAAGTAAACGATCTTGGATTATTTTTAAATAACAGTGTATAAAATAAACAAACATCTACGTTAACATTTATAAAGCCCGTGTCATTAACTCACAATATTCATTCATGCTATTCTTAGAAACCGCTGATTTTAACGGAACTTTGTAAATGTTTATTGTTTGCTCAGGTTTTTTTTTTATGGATGATAATAGAATGATAGCCGCGTCTCCGCTATCGGTATACAATAACAGAGCGCCAGTGATAGATGATAGATGAAGATGAGAGCCGGTCAGTTAGTCCATCGTGGCGAATTCCATAGGAAGTAATCATGATGATTTCCAGGGGAAACCGCGTGGAGGTCGACCTGATAGACTACAATATATTAGTAACAAGGCTCTTAGATCCCATTACTAACAATTCCTTGCCTCCAATGCCTGCTCAAATTAATTCTTTTTTGTTTTTCAATGGATGATAATGAAATAGCAAACCCGCCTACGCTAATGGTATTATACACTGGCGGGGCTCTAATGACGGATGATAGGTGAGGATGAAAGAGCAGGTAGTCCAGATCAGTTATCCCACCGTAATGAATACACCAGGAATTCAGCACGATGGTTTCCAGGGAGGACCACGTGGAGCTCGCCCTGATACGGTATATTACTAGCAACGGGACTGACAGTCCGCATTACTAACAATCCCTTCCCCCCTCCCCCTCAGGTTAGATTAGGTTGTTTTGTATCGCATCGCACGAATCTTTTTGGCCCTCGAATTAGCGCCTCGAGACGTGCCTCTTTGCTCCAGCTTCATCTCATCTCTGGTCTTTGGCTTCATTACCTCTTTTTGAATTAGCATCTCGTGCAAATTAGGTCTTGAAAAATGAGGAGCTGGATCCTCTTCATTTATTCTGATAATAAATAATTAAAATTATATAAAATAAAACTTCTATGGGACCAATTTGTAACTATTATTCAGATACAAAAAAAATTTCAAATCGATTAACTGACAAAGTTATGAGGTAACAAACATAAAAAACACATTCGAGTTGACGACATGATTCTTTTTGAAGTCGGTTGAAAATGTCGTCACCTCTATGGCAAATTTACGAATCTGCAGTTTTTTAAAATTTGACATTTCTTTAAAAATCTACATTTTGCTCCATACTAATTATTGTGGCTTATTTTCAAATTTCTATCTCTAACGGTTAAAGAAATCGAGTAGCTCGAATCTCCATATTTTTGTGATATACCCAAACTTACTTAGCATATTTTTATAGTATTTTCTATAATAAACACTTTAATTTGAAAATTTCAATAATTATTTTATCAATTTTTCAATCCTAATTTAGTTATTTTACATGAATGGTTGCTATAACGTTGTTATTTAAACTGGAGTTTTCTCTAAAACTCCATATCTAGGAACTCTCATGTATGAAGGTGCAAAGTAACGAATATGCATTTATTTCTGATACTTGTAATATAATAATAATTAATTCAATAAAAAACTGGATTTTAAAACTAAAATGTTAGCATGATTTTTTACAGTAGTCTTCTATCAAAAGTTATTTACATTCTAATGTTTCAAAAAGTTCCCCTGTAAAATGTATCTTTTTCAGTTTCGTAATTTTACCATAAAGGTGACGATGTATCCGGATCAAAACAATATGTAGTAGGGTAATCAGTATACGTAAATAGTATGGATGTATGTGTGCGGAAATATGACGTAATTTTAATTTCGATCATTATTACTAAGATGCCATAAATTACAATCAACCACAATTTTTTTTATTCACATTACCAACCTGCGGTAAATTGTAATCAAGCACAACAACAATAAACTTAAAATGGCGGTATTTTTATTGTCTATAGTAATTTCCGTTTTAATTAATTTGTATTGTTGTTAATAATTTACCATTTGACCATCAATTTTTTTTCTGAAGCTTTTTTTATTAATATTTATGACAATTTTAATATCTGAGATCATGGTCCATCTATACCAGTGTTTCCACGCACTGACAACATATATATATATATATATATATATATATATATATATATATATATATATATATATATATATATATATATATATATATATATATATATATATATATATATATATATATATATCACGAAGTAACAAATAACATAAAGGTTCTAGAATACAACCCAGCCTGCAATATTTGTGAGAAAAGGTCTGACCCTGTAATTCTGGGGTGGACATGACGACCCCTCCCCCCCTTATTCAGGATCAATACAGTCATCTTGATATTGCAGGCGTGTACAGGCTCTGTACAAGGGTGAAAGGTTTGTTAGCAATTGGGCTACATAATTTTTTTTGATGGATGATAATGCAATGGTACCCCGCCTGCGGTATCGGTATACACTGATGGGGCACCAGTAAGGGATGATAGGTGAGGATGAAAAGGCAGGCCAGTTACTCCATCGTGACGAATTCAACGATAAATTTGTCACGATGGTTTTCAGGTGAAACCGCGTGGAGGTCGATTTGATAAGGTATATTAATAACAGCTCTATTGGAAGCCATATACCCTTTCGATCTTCACAGGGTTCCACCTAGAAACCATCGTGGTTGATTCTTGTGGGATTGGTCACGATGGGCTAAGACCTGCCTTCATCCTCACCCACCATCTCTCACTGGTGACTCAGCAGTGTATATCGATAGCGCAGGCGAGGTTGCCATTCTATTTTTCACTAATAAAACTAAAAGAAAGGGTCTGATAAAATAGGAAGGATCGAAATTATATGCATATGTTTTTATTTCGGAAAAATTGGTTTCGGTTTTTTTTTTTTTTTTTTTTTTTTTTTTTTTTTTTTTTTTTTTATGGAACATAGAATGGCAAACAAGCTGACGGCCCACCTGATGGAAAGTGGTAACCGTCGCCTATAGACATGAGCAGTACCATGGACATAACAGAGTATACTGTTTCGCCCATGATACCCCCCATGCGTTGCCATTCCTGAGGACTCAGGTGTTATTCCTCTGTACCCAGTAAATTCACGCCATATCCCACCCTTCAAACCGAAACACAGCCATGCAAACACAACTGCTTCACGGTTGAAACACGAATGGGACAGAGGTACCCAAGCAATCGACTTTTGTACAAAGTCTCCCTCTCGGTATCGAGAAATTAATAAAAAAAACCTAAAACAGTAATTTTTAAAATTCATGTAGGTAGGTAGGTCTTGGGATAGGCCAACACGAAAAAAATTATGAATATGAATCAATTTTACACCAAGTTCTAGTTTATCAAAAAATCCGCTAGATGCTGTTAATAAAACTATCACATCGGACGAGAATTCTGAAGCATCATTCTTCATTTCTAAAATAAAGAATGTAATTTGATATTACAACGGAAATATTATTCTACGGATGGTATATATTACATTTTTATGAGTTTTCTTATACATTTAATTGTCGATGGTCAATACCATAACAGTTTTGCTAACGTAACTTGTAATTAAAATTATAATTTTAGAAATAATCGACCCCAATATATATTTTGTTTGTAGAAGCTAAGAGGTACTAATTTTATATCTTTTGTTTTGTTACTAAATCTCAATTAAGAAGACTTATGAAACAAATGTTTTAACGTTCTCTGTTATTTATATTGTAAAATAATGTTACAATGAAACATTGTAATACATCTATTAGACGCTAGAGGGCAATATGAAAGATATTAGCTATTTACTGATAGAGGGCGCTATTTCAGAAAGTTCCTACAAATTCAACAACCAATCAGAACAAAGAATGCAGTAAAACATTGACGGCAAAATGTGACATTTTCTGCGCAGGCCGTCTATTTCCGTTCGCTGATAGGACAGCCGACATTTTGTTCCAAAGTGATGACGCACGCGGAATCGAGCATTAGCTTGGGCCTTTGTACGCGATTGGTTGGACTAGACAAGAAGACGAAAAACTCGCTGCATTGGTGGAATCGCATAATTTTTTGTGAAGTGTATGATTTTTTCAAAAAAAAATATTTATCTTTTAAATCTATTTACATGGCAAGAAATAGAGTAGGAGTTTTCCAAGCCAGGTAAGCGATTTAAAAAAATATGACATTCGCTGCTTTGTATGGCTGGAACCTGGAATGCTTTACTTTTAGGTATATGGAACAGAATTCACGAATTTCGGATTCACGTAGTGTTAGTGGACGTTAGGTGAGTGACCTTTTTTATTTACAAACAAAAATCTGCAATACATATCGGTTTTATTTTTGTAAATGAGTAACATTATACTTTACACACGTATGTAGTTAGATAATACTGGAGTGCTTAAATAGGCTCATTGATATAAAAAATTGTTGAAAGATTTCGTTTTCACTGTATAATTTTTATAATTTCTAGGTTATTAAAATTATTTATATAATTTGACACTCCAGCTGACACCGAGATTATACAGAGCACTTATCCCTGTGAGAACTGAGTACCAGTTTTTCATTCTTTACATACATCTGTAGGTTTTACCATTTTCACACATATATTGTCACTGCTTATGTAATTAAGCACTTTGTCTTTTGAACAGGTTTTAGAAAGTATATATTAGTGGGATAGACAATTGCAAATGTCCCAAAAAAACTGAAGATACCCAGTCACCAACTGGTATTTTTTTTAATGGATGATAATAGAATGATAACTCCACATTTGCTAATGGTATACACTGATGGGGTAACAATACCTATGATGGTAGGTGAGAATGAAAAGACAAGTTAGCCCATTGTGATGAATACACTTGGAATTGTGCATTATGGTTTCTGGGAGGAACCGTGGGGAGGCCAACCTGATAGAGGATATATTTTATCATATTTGTCTTCAACTAACTAACAAAACTTTCTTCCCAACTAATGGGTATTAGATGTAGTTAACTATAAAATTAAATACCAATCAATAGCAATGAGCACCTGGTGATTGCTACTGATTATCTACCAATAGTATAAGGCTTCATAATTTTTTTTATTTTTCACTCCCATTAATAAAATCCAACCCAAAAGTGACGGGAAAGGGATTGTTAGTTATGGGGTTTATCAGCCCCACTGCTAATAATATACCCCATTAAGTCGATCTCCACACGGTTCCTCCTGGAAACTATCATGATTAATTCGTGTTGAATTTGTAAACAGTTCCATTACTTTTTAATTAAAGTTTACCCTAATAGTGTAGACATATGTCTTTATCGACTATTATCATTGTGGTGAGCACTAGACATGTCCACATTCCACTGAGCTCAGTATCCAATAAACACTAATTAAAATTTTTTTTTTATTAGTATGAAAGTTTTCCATTTTTAGTAAAATTCAATATTCTGTACTGATCCTGATTAAATGATACTTTCCAGTTGAAGAATGCAAGAGACACTGGTGTGGTCTCAAAAATGGCTGTATAAAGAGCAAACACATGGGTACAATGAACAAACCCACGGTAGAAGTGTTCAAGAAACTTCAATTTCTTGATGAGACTATTTTGGACACTGAAGAAATACTGGATCATACAATGGAAGTGATTGATGATGAAGGGAAGTCACAATCCCTGGTGGGCATCGAGCAGCAAGTTATTACAGATAACCAGGAATACTATGAGGTAATAATATAAAATATAATATTTATTCAAGAAAGATACAGTTGCAGAGGGAGACTTTGTACAAAGTCGATTGCTTGGGTACCTCTGTCCCATTTGTGTTTCAACCGTGAAGCAGTTGTGTTTCGGTTTGAAGGGTGGGATATGGTGTGAATTTACTGGGTACAGAGGAATAACACCTGAGCCCTCAGGAATGGCAACGCATGGGGGGTATCATGGGCGAAACAGTATACTCTGTTATGTCCATGGTACTGCTCATGTCTATAGGTGATAGTTACCACTTTCCATCAGGTGGGCCGCTTGCCATTCTAAGTTGTATAAAAAAAAGTTGCATAAGGTACAATTTACAATTTTTACAATTTATATTCAACGAGGAAATATCTGCATTACCATCAGTCCCCAAACTAGGTCAGACCTGTATCTTGGGGATGAAAAGGTATTGAATAATATTATAAATGTTAAAATGAGTTTGTTGGTTACCTTTTAGCATTTTAACGGCTTAACTAATCCCTATAAAATTTGATATACACATGTTGTATGTAGGAGTTGGAGAAGAACATAGTATACTTTTTTATTTATTTTATTTTTCGTGTCCCTGGACAAATTTCGATTGTACATCGGGAGATTATTTCACCTGTAGGAGACTTTGTACAAAAATACAAATGGGACAGAGGTACCCAATTAAAAAGACTACTTGGGCACCTTTGTCGCATTTGTGTTTTACCGTGAAACAGTTGTGCTTGCCTGGCTGTTTTGCGGCAATCAACTCAGTGCAGAGGAATAACACCTTAGGCCTCAAGAATGACAATACATGGGGGGGGGAGGAATCTTAGACGCAACAATATACTCTGTTATGTCAGTGGTACAGCACATGTCTATAGGCAATGGTTACCACTATCCACCAGGTGGGCTGCCAACCTGTTAGTCATTCTAAGATGCATAAAATTAAGTGTTTTGTCACTTTCTTTTACACTATTAATGCAAACATTCCATTTTTGATTAGTCCAAACATTATTATGAATTTACTAAAAATCTTATTAATATCTAGACCGCCAGATGGCGACACTCGCAGTGCAGTACTTGACATTGTAACTTAATCTGATGGGAAATGAAAGTGGAAAATATATAAACATAATCTTTTTGTCACATTTCAGATCACTGTCGTCGACGGCCCACAGGAAACACATGTAAAACCGTTTATTAAAATAATGCCAAAAATAGAAACGAAAGTGGACCCGCCAAAGAAAATAAAAAGAAATGTCGGAAGGAAAAAGTCGATGCCGATGCCCAAGAATATACCTCCGATTAAAATTCTGCCAAAACCCATACTCCTGAATCAGCCAAAAGTACTCAGATACGTAGAAGACTCAAAGACACCCGAACAGAGATCACAGGTCATAGACAAACTAATAGAGAAAATTCTAAAAGAGAACACAAACGAAATTGACGTATTCTTTAGAAGTATGGCAGCCAGTGTGAAAAAATTACAACCAAATCTCATACCTAAAGTTAAAATGGAAGTGTGCAATGTTATAGCCAAATATGAAATGCAGAGTTTTGACAAGAACGCACAGAATTTCTAATCTGTGACTTTATAAGTTATGTGAAATGGACCTGATGGGTAAACAGTACAGAGTAACGTATGTTACGGTATCTTGAGTGATTGCAAGGTATTTGTTAAGATGTATATAAATCTAGTTAGAATTAAATTAATGTTCCCTAAATAACGATGACTTTTATTATGAACTAGATAACTCGGGACGTCATTTTGTCAAGAGCTATTGAAGTGTTTGAATTAAGAGCTAGGAACAGTTTGTTTATTCCACAAAAAAAAAATAGATTAAAATTTTGACAAAATCAGCCAGTTTGATTCAAAAACTAAAGTACTGAAACGATTTTGGTAAAGTTTCTATGGAACCAATCTTTACAGATAAATCTTACGATAAATACTCTTTCAGATGAAAACAGGATTTTACAAATTGGTTTATAACAGACAGACCTATGAGGTAACAATCATAAAGAAAATAACCATTCTTTTTTAATTTGATTGATTGGTTTTTACATTTGGATGGTACAAACTTCAACAAATATTTGAAAAAACAATTGCTGAGTAAGTCCAGCACATTCTCCAGTCTTGCATTACATTCAGTAATTAATTTTTATTTTTAATAAAGTTAACAAAAGCAACCTTTGCAATAATATAGATTTTTGTAAATTCAAAATGAATATTAAAATTATCAAGCATGTACTTAATATTTATTATAACTATTATTAAGACGTATTTTTTAAATTCTCAATTCACCTGTTTCTTTTCAACCAACTTCAAAAAGAAGGAAGTTCTCAATACGTTGTATTTTTTTTTATGTTTGTTATCTCGTAATTTTGTTAGTTATAAACCAATATGGGAAATTCTTTTTATCTGAAAAGATTGGTCATATAGAAATTTTATCGAAATCAATTCGGTAATTTAGTTTGTACATCAAAATAGCTGGTTATACCACAACTGAAGTCAGTTTCTTGTGGAACACAATTATTGTTTGTGTACGTTGCGGAATATCTTTACGAATTTTGAAACGGTTTTGATAATTTTTCTTGCCATCGGGTTTCCTGTGTCTTAGATAGGTAATTCTTAAAAAAAAAAAAAACTACATGATATTTTACTTTTATATTGGAAGCGAATAAATTAATGTATATTGACGATTTGCTTAAGAGATCTATTTGTTACATCTCTAAATCAGTATATTGTATATCTATATCAAAGAAAATATACGTTATTTTTTACATTTAACTATATTATTTGAAAAAAAAAAATAGTAAACGAACCTGCACCTCAGTTTTGCTGGTTTTTAAAAAATACTTATTACTAGAACAAATTGAAATAAAATTTACTATATTTAGCAATTGTCTAGTAAAGGCAAGTGCAGGCATAGAGGGCGTTCTGTGTGTACAGTGGTATTTATTTAAATTTTTAATTTACCAAATCACAACGTAAAACAAGTGACCTTTTTAATTATTAAAATCGTTCTACACGCAATGTTCAGGATTTTTAATGACGTGTCTGCTGTGTGCATTTCATTATACGTAGGGGAGAGAATTAATGCTAATTAAAATTGATTGTTCCCCATATTTTAGTGGACAACGGTCAGTGTTGTGCATTGTTAATATGTAAACACATGTGATATGTGGGTAACTGTTTAATTGCAGACTAAATGGTCACATAGTTTTATAAATGTTATGTAATTATTTGTAATTTTCTTTTTAATCAACTTAGAATTTGCAAACAAGCTGACGGCCCACCTGATGGAAAGTGGTAACCGTCACTTATAGACATGAACAGTACCATGGGTATCACACAGCACATATCGTGCGTTTGTGTGTAGTATTCATTGTCAATTTCATTCATTCATTTCACATTTTCGAAATATATTTCATGTACAGAATTGACCTCTCACTACACATTTATTATAAGTATAGATGTAAGGATAATGTACAGACAAATGACTGCACAGAATCATGGCAAAATTATAAATAAAGGTTCTTTTTCAACCATTTTCCTATAAAACACTAAAAATGTTACCAGTGGAATCAAAAGCACTTATCTAGTCGTAAGTGCGTTAACGCCCGGTACTCAGACAGAGCTGTAGACTGTAACGAGTGCGCAGGTTGCAGCTCATTTAAGTTCCTGCTAACGAGGTGCCGTACTTCTACACACAATCTATTCTCGGGGGCGAGCAAGCTTGTTTTGTTCACACCAGAGTTGCAAATTATAAAGTTTTTTTTGCGTCAGCTGTTAACTATTCACTGCTGAAAATATCTCTCGCATAAGAGGGATTTTGCCAGTAGTTGCCACGCTTGGCAGGCGGGTTGGCAACCGCAATTAGGCTTTGGTGATGTTTTAAGAGGGGCGCTGCTGGCCATCCTTCGACGAAGTTCCCTTAGTCGTCTTTTACGACAACCACGTAAATCCTTATTAGCTTTTTTTATAGTTAGGGAAGCAAACGAGCAGACAGGCCATCTGATGAAAAACGGCTACCGAATCCCATGAACTGTGAATACAACATTCAATTCGGATTTTAATTAATCTTTTGTGATTCGATTTGTGACATGTATGTACATGTATGCATCTATATTCATTAGGTATACGGCTCGATATATAATCAACGGCCGCCGCAGCTCATCAAGCATTTATTATATTTAACAATTATAGTTAATTATTTATGCACTATATGTTGCAGTGTGGTCCCGGCATAGAATAGGCCACTTCTTTTCCTGTTGGCGTCGTAAGAAGTGACTTGGAAACTTAATGGTCGAGAGACAGGCAGCAGCGTCCCTCTTAAAATATCTTTAACGATTAACTGAGGTTTCAGGGATGGCAAAACTCCCCTTATGGGGAACTATAGGTTCATATCCAAAGGGATATGCCAAATATTTGTTTTGCACATATTAAACATTTTGTGCTGATCTATTTTATATATGGTGCTTATTGTAGTATATTTGTTGTTTAAGTACTATATTATAATTTCTTTGAAAGAATATTGTAATCAATTTTCTACCTGGAAAGGAAGGGGTGGCCCATTCTAAGCCGTGTGGTCCCGACCTAGAATGAGCCACCCTTTTTCTCGTGTAGAGGCAACTAAGGAAATTCAATGGTCAAGGGATAGGTAGCAGCGTTTTTTAAAACATCATCAAAGCCTAACTGCGGAGGGTGGGGGGCAGATTGTTAGTAATGCGGACTACGAGTTCCATTGCTAGAAATAATCCCTCCTGGAAACAGCCGTGCTGAATGGAATTCACCTGGAGGGTATATTCATCACGATGGGCCTACTGACCTGCCTTATCATTCTTGCTTATCATTCTTCACTGGTGCTCTGCCAGCGTATACCGTTAGCGCAGGCGGAGTTACCGTTCCAGTATCATCCATTAAAAAATATAGTAAATTTACTGTTGGAATTTTTTGGAGGAAAATAAAATAAAACCGGGGGTTACAGCAAGTTCTCTATAAAATTATCGACAACCGCATTGTGGACATATTGTCTTTTCGCCCATGCATAGTTCAAGGATTGGAGAAAAAATAAGGGTGGGATGTTGCTTTTGATGGTGGCAATAAATCTCAAGGGCTGAGCGTATCGAATAAATAATATATTAGATACGGGGCAAACTTGCTGCATTTGTATAAATTTCCGTTCAATATGTTAGGGAAAAAAACATCTTTGTATTGAATAATCTATACTAATATAATAAAGAGGAAAGATTTCATTATATGTCTGTAATGGCATATAGTATTATATTATCTGTGGTAATGGATAAATTCAAAAACTTCCCGACCAAATTTATCAACATTTACATTATCTGCGAGAAACATAGGCTAAATATTTAAGAAACATCTAACCATGCGAAGGCAGGCCGAATCGCTAGTATTGAAGAAGTTTTTTTTTTTTTTTTTAAATTTTATTCTTGCTCGTATTCAAGTAAAATTGTCAATGAGTTATTATAACTGCTTCAATCCTACATAAAATGGAAAACAGTAAAAATACCAAATAATTTATTTTATTTTACACTTTATTGCACCAAATAAAATAATAATAAATATAGTAAATATTAATGAGAAGTGATACAAAAGGCGGCCTTATCGCTAAGCAATCTAAACAACCTTTAAGAAATAATCAACATTTTGTTAGGATTACGTTGTATTTATTAATATAGAAAAAAAAAACAATATTGTTTCCAATAATAACATCAGTATTCATATTTTAAAATAAAGAAAAGGGCGCCGATCAGCGACAAGAAGCTTCATAGACACATTATATTTTTAAAATATTAGAATTTGCCACAAAATTAATATCGAACAAATAAGCCTCATAGATTAAAAAAATGCCAAAATTTGTCTAGTACTGACAAAGATATAGCGTATCATTTTCACAAAAATAGCTGACGACTTCAGATTTCAGAGATCATATTTATTACTTCATTCATTTTTTGTAAAATACTCGCAGAGCGCAAGGCGGGGCGTCTAGACAAGCTGCCGCGGTTCACTGGCCGACAATCTGCGCACAGTTAGGCGGAATCAGTAATCTCCGTTTTCGGGAAAATCGATAAAATTTTAGTTAATAATTGAATAACTGAAATGGAATAGGGATACAAGATAACATTAAAAAGTTATCAAGTTCTTTTGCAATACTTTACGTGTAAAATTTATACGAATTATATTATTTTCCATTTTGGCCGATGACCTTTTGTAATCGATAGAGAGTGATCTCGTATTCTGAGATCTTATTTCAATTAATTTTGAAAAAAAAAAAGAGGTCACTGATAAATATAATAGCCATCTCTTAATCGCATTATTATTAAATTAAGTATTTATCAAAATCATGAAATTAATAAATTAAAAAAAAAAAATAGTTTTTTTTTTATCAAAGGCAAATGCGTGCACTTCAGACTTCTATGCAGACATATACTTTGTTATGTATCTTGTCACTAGTTTAAACATTCACAGTCTATTCACCATCAAGTGTAGGTGGAGCGTATGAGTACCTAGTTGAGGTATTGTGTAGTTGGTCTTTGATGTCTGAATTGTAGTGTCTATTACAAAGTATATATTTTTATATCTTACTAGTTGTTACCCGCGGATTTACTCGAGCTGAAACCCCTCTTTTCTCGTTCTTGTTGTACTCTTTTACGTTTTCATGATAATATTAAAAGACAGTGGGTGAACAAAACTACATATTTA